TAAATCAGCAAACCAATCCACACTAAAGTAGCAATACCTCAATAATTCGGTCCAAACTAAAGTACTCAATACTTTAATCAATAAATTAATCCACACTATAGTACCCAATACTTCAATCATAAAAATCAATCCGCACTAAAGTAGACAATACTTCAGCTATCAATCCCGACAGATAAGTACCCAGTACTTCAATCCGTAAATCAATCCACATTAAGGTACCAAATACTTAAATCTATCAATCAACCCACTCTAATGTCTCCAATTCTTAAATCATTTGATCAGTCCACAATAAAGTACCCAGTACGTCAATCATTAAATCAATCCACAGTAAAGTATCAAGTACGTCAATCATTAAATCAGTCCACAGTAAAGTATTTAGTACGTCAATCATTAAATCAGTCCACAATAAAATACCCAGTACGTCAATCATTAAATCAGTCCACAGTAAAGTACCCAGTAAGTCAATCATTAAATCAATCCACACTTAAGTATCCAGTAGTCTATCATCAAATCAATCCACACTGAAGTATCCAATACTTAAATCAATAAATCGATTCGTACTAAAGTACCCAACACGTCAATCATCAAATCAATCCACACTAAAGTACCCAGTACGTCGATCATTAAATCAAGCTACCACGTACTAAAATAAACCATTCTACAGTAATACGTAAAAATAGAGGTAGATACACGTGTTTCTGTTGTGATGTAGTCTATCAAGACTTGAAACGTGGACGATATGTGAAAGAAAATCTTTTTTTTTTTATAAATTGGCTGATACCTTCATTGAAACTAATGCGAAAAGCAGTCAGTATATACGAGGAATACAATACATTGAAATTTTGCAACTGTATTCAGAAGTGTTGATTTAATTACCAACAAAAAGTTATAGATGATTCCTGATAAGGTCATTAGGAGACGATATTCTCCCCTATTTTGTCTGGGCGATTGGCGTGGCAGTTTATCCTATGTACGACCACCAAAATTGACCATTTTGAACAAGACACTCTGAAGCAAAATCAGCTTGTAAATTACAAATTTAGACACTAGCAGAAAACCTGGTTTGCGTTCTTTTTATGTATGCATTTTTGTAACAGTATTTTGAGATTCAATGTATTTTTTTATTTCTAAATATTATATAAACTCAACTGTAAATCTGTCAGCATACCACAAACATAGCTGATGATGACGTCATTCGGGAACTATCCGTTTTGTATATAAGCATCATTTCAATACTTTTATCTAATTTAGATATATTATTGTGTTGAGTAAATTTCAATAAGACTTATGCGTTTGTGAAAGAAACATTCTGGACAGCACGAAATGTACTTGAACAAAGTTTTAGACCAAATTCTGTCTAATTTGACCACGTTGTAGGAATATTCTACGTGTTCTAAAATTATACTTTTTAAAGCATGTTTTTGATACTTATAGTCAATTTTGCACAATAAATTTGGCAAATTTATATTTCATATAACTGATATTTGATTTTGAATTGTGATATATATATATATATATATATATATATATATATATATATATATATATATATATATATATATATATATATATATATATATATATATATAATACTTTTATTGAATACTAAACTCATTCCATAACATCTCGTAGCATTATCAATGATGTCCTAATAAAGCTCAATGGCGTAATATCAAAGGAATCCGAATTATCTTGCAAGGCGATTGACAGCACTTCTGCCAAATATTTCTCCTCGTGCTCTTGCGATACATAGAATTTTACTTTTGTGGACCTTTCAATGAAGATTATGAAACTCAATAAATAATTGAAACCACTTGCTCGCTAAGAGAAACACAAGGTAAAAATAATTCCACTTGTTTCATAAATTCATTTTTGAATGGGCACTCGTGCAAGGTCGAAAAGATAATCCAAGAGAAGAATAAACTTGGCTACATCCTTGACGTAGGACTAGAGTCTAGTCCTACGAAATCACTCCCATACTATAATTTTAAATAAAAGTGACATATTCTAATTTTGTTCACAATTTTGGGTCTAAGTTGCAGAATGAATTCGTGATGAATAGTTTCTTAGCATTTTATAGATTTTATTTCCAGTAGAAAGCAATATACCTACAAGTGACCATGATGAGTTAACGTAAATAAGTTGTCTCTGTCTTCGTTTGAGGTATACGTGTGTGTGTACTCATTGACGAGTCAGGATCAGGATCAGCCTAATTCGAACTCCGAACAAGACAAATTAGGTTCAAAGAATAATCCTATTTTAATTTGATTTTTAAATTAATCGTGCAAGTTGTCAGAGTGAGGGAACATACATGAACTGTTGAATATTCTGTCACAACTATGCATCGTATCCCTGAGACATACTGCACTGACAGACATATTCAGTAAGTTGTCTATGTATCACACCAGATTGCTATGATCTTTTATGCTTAAACTATATTTAAATCTATATGTATGAATAATGCAGTTTGAGCAAAATAATTCATCTTTATCATAGATTACTTTGTCTTAGATTAGACTGGACTAGACAAGAAAACGGTAAACACTGAGCAAAAATTCTTGGTTAAATATAGTAATAAATTTGCTTAAGTAGTAATCTCGACTATCAACACAACCGAGAAATCGGGACAGGTGATTGTGGATTGCAAACAGAGATTCAATGACAATCGAAATTTGAGAGCAGCATCTGGTACCAAACTAGACTTCAAGCTTGCCAAGGCCTCGTAATCCACGTTCAAATGAAGAAATAACAAAAAGAGCCAAAAAATTATTTTAAACTTGCAATCATTAAAATTTTTCTTTTAAATATTTTTAACGTTCAGAATTCTGTTGGATACAACCAGTCTGTAATGCTTTTAGAGTACTCGCAACCGAAAAATATTCACTGATTGAATCGGCGCAAGTGTAGAAAACGTAAAATCACTTCATTAGCGTATGAAATCAGTACAGAATTTTAATTGTTCTATTTACAAACTAAAGTTTTAAAGGTTACTCTCCTAAAATTGCTGTAAAATTTCAGAGCTTGCTATTATCGCATTGGCACAGAATGGAGAGAAATTTAATGAAAACGAAGTCTTGCCTCAAAATATATGATAAAATGAAAACTTACTTTTTTCAGTAGATTTAAAAAAGTATTTCACTTGTGAAGTGGAATCAATCATTTTGTTTTCTCTCTCTTGGCTTTACAATCATGTCATTACGTTTCAACTTCAGTCTAGAAGTATTTCCTTATATCTACTCATAAACACTGTACATAGCCTCTGTATATCAGAAACGTATTTGTGAAGCTCCTAACCTAGACAATACAATTTTTTAACTGTGTACAAGTTGAATTATTTCAGGCATATATTAATTGATATTTTTAATACATTAAGGATAATCCACAGTAAATATGTCGCGCATATCTTAATGCTTAATTTCTTTCCTAAAAATTTTAATTTGACTTGGGGCATTTATGTTCACATATAACAAATATATTGGATTGGTCGGAACCACAACCTGCAGATAGACCAAGCGAAAGTTCTCAAAAATCAAAACAAAATGAATGAGTTCGATTTTACAATCACTGCAGTAAGCAGTTACTGGTGTACATTTCTTTGCCAATCTTTTTGTTTGGCTAACCTGCATGATCACTCGTTGGAGGTGAAAGCTCTGGCATGCTTTGTCCAACAAGACTTGGCTAAAGCCACCAGGCAAAACGACTTAAACGCAGGCGTAGCCAAACCAGAGCAAAATGCTTTGCGCATCTAATACACACCAATATTTTGTTTTAAATTATACAAGGTTAGGGTCATTACAGAAATAACAGATTTAAGTTACAGATTGTTCTGCAAGCATTATTATTGGAATTCAATTTACTTCATGAGCATTAAGTTTTGGAAAAAGAAATGAGCACAGGCGTGATATATTATTCATAAAGAAAAAGAAGAAAGAAAGAATGAATGAATGAATGAATGAATGAATGAATGAATGAATGAATGAATGAATGAATGAATGAATTTTCCTGGTTTTGCACATAGTGATTTTTTTCTCCAGAACAATGGAGGTACCAGTAGAAGTGACCATAAGCTGTCCTTTAATCTTTATATTTCATCCAAATTAGTTTCTTTCATGTGTATATAGTTCAACTTTGGCTCAAAACTTACCGTTTTTTCTGCAGCTCCATCAATGATCAGACTCAAGATCATCATCAGAAATCTCCGTATTCGTAACCTAAACCTCAAGGGAAGGCACATTTTTATTCTTCATTCATAAGATTTTTATAAGGGAGGTAATCTATTTGCTCTATGAACATGCCGCCATCTTGATACCTTCACTCTACGCTTTCCTCTTTACTGACTAAACCTACCTTTTAATTTGAGATTGTGTATATATATATATATGTATATATATATATATATATATATATATATATATATATATATATATATATATATATATATATATATATATATATATATATATATATATATATATATATATATATAAGACGATTGAAGGATCAGAAATATTTTAGAATCAGTGTCTAGAAAATAGTCAACCGGAAGTGAGAAATGATAAGAATGGTATTTTCATGAGAATGATGGTATCGAATAGTAACAGAGGAAAAATTACAACTGCACAAAAGAGCCAAGAATATTACTAATCATGAAACATCAATAACAACAGGAGGTCAAAACAATCAATGTTCTTACCAATACGCCGAAAGTTATTTTCCAAATAAATATTTTACGATAAATTGTCTAACCAGGTAAACAAATATGATGGAAAAAGTTAATGATACGTACAGAAATGGGTAATATAACTTAACAGTATATTATTTTTCATTGGTGATTAAATTTTCTTCAAGTACTAATAATATCAACCTTGATTAAGTGGTGCGAATTGGTCGGGTAGCTGAAAGGTGATAACTTTGAGATAATTGTTGACCAGGCATGGGGTATGGCCAAATCAGTATTATCCCATTACTAAAGAGTCATCTATCAAATCTTTAACCGCTCCGTTGGCCCAGTGGTTAGAGCTTCCGCCTCAGATGTGGGAGGTCGTGGGTTAGATCTCCGGTCGAGTCATCCCAAAGACTTACAATAATGGTATAAACAGCTGCCTCGCTTGGGCTTAAGCATTATGAAGGTTAGTGTTAGGCCTGGTGTCAGAATAATGTGACTGGGTGGGACATCATGCTATATGTCTGCGGCATAATGCCCCAGTGCTAGACATCACTATAAACTGCCACACTGCAGACATCGCAGCGAAATAACTGAAAAATTGTTTAAGCTAAGTTAAAATTCATAATCACATCTCATCAAATCTTTATTAGACGTATTCGTTTTGTTGCCCGTATTTCGGGTTGTAAATGATAATTCCTGGATTATACAAAGAGTAAGGATTAGGTTTTAAGAAAGTGTATGATACTCCTCAGTCAGCTTGGGTTACGGGCTTTCGAATCCCTTTAGACTTGTCTGTAGTCGATGTGTAAAACGGCCGATTTTTAACAATTGTTTGAAGCGTTTAAAGAAACGATCAGTTTGGACAAGAATACGCGAGGGGAGGGTGTGTTTTTCTGTAGTGGGGTAGAGAAGGTACGTTTTCACGTGCAAGTTTGATTGTGAGCGAGGTTTCACCAAAATGAAGTGTAAACAACGATTCAAAGCAGCAGATGTCTATTCCAGACGGTTGTCTTGTATGAGCCGCTAATTTCTCCAAGCTCTTGAACTGATTGTTGCAATAATTTGTTACAAATAGTCAACGCAGAATAATTTGAGCCGTTCTTATGTTCATGACCTAGTTGTTGACTTCGAAACATGTCATGGGAAAGAACAGGTAATTTTTAATTAAAACAAAACTGTGGTAGAGTGTGACTGTTAAGTTTCTTTAACCGTTTGGAAATCAAAATGGCGGCAATTGATGAAGTTTTCCTTTTTTGAGAACTTCTGCGATCAATCTATCGACATATTACTAAGGAGAGTTCTGTGATCAGTCTGTTGAAAATATTATTAATTGAAAGTTGTGTGATCTTTTTCGGTCCTCTTGATTTTATATTAATTAATAATGATATTTCTGTCTCTCGAAAATTGTATGTTTACTTGTCATATTTTTGATTCTGTACTAATATATTGTTCTAGATCAAACATATATCAGCATTATCATATATATATATATATATATATATATATATATATATATATATATATATATATATATATATATATATATATATATATATATATATAAAGTAAGCATAACCTCGTCATTGCATCGAGAAATACCTCTGTAATACTTAATAGAGATAAAAACTCTTTCAGAATTAAATAATTTTAATGTTATATTTACAAAACCTAAAAATAACATGAAGAATTCAGATTACTGCATATGTAGTGTGAAGGTGGTGCTATTTGCAGCCCACTTGGCATCCTGGTGATGCAAAGTTTAGACTGCCAACCACCACCTGTGCTCACTGGTTACACCTGATGTACATGCAGTCATAGCTTAAACGAGAGCGTGAAAACCTATTGATTCATTTTCGATCTCTTTGAAATATTCCATTTATCGAAAGAAGAAAGCACCATCGACAAATATTATACCCTTTTTTTAAAAATGTATTGGATCAATAAGACAGAATGACGACATATGACAGGATTATGTTTAAGTTAAAAATTTTACGTCACAACCAGATCATTCCATTAAAAGAAATGTCATCTTTTGGATTTCTGTTCCAGGAATAAATTTTAAAATGCGAAATATTTGTTTTTATCAAACTCAACATTGAGTTTGTTTCCTTAACGGAAATTCACCAGTCTAACAAGCTGTTTTATTTTATAAGTATTTTCAGAAGTAGATTCAGAATCTGTAATAATTTGGATAGTGGTTTAAGTTTGATTTGTTACATAGGAATCATTTTTGTGGAAAGAGAATCATATCCATCGTCACTTAAGTTTCAAGCACCAGTTAATATTTTAATATATCACAAGATCACATTCAATCTTACAAAGCAAAACATATTCCATAGAAGACAAAAAATCGACATGTTGGGATTTTGGTACCTACATATGAACATGCGTCAGACTTTTTGACAGTCTATTCATCCATCACTGTTTCCGTCAGTGACTGAAACATCTTATCACATGTTCTATTATTCCACTAGAAGGACTCAAACATCGTGGTTTAAACAAGTACTTGATGTAAATGTGTAACTGGTATTTGCTATATATTTATTGGTGAAATTAATGAATATTGTTAAGTGAAAGATATTTTATGACGCATAAACTTAAGCCAAAGAACGACTGTGAGAATAGTGTTGCAAATTATTCACTTGTTGGTCATGTAGATTATTATACCGAAGGATGGGAGATTTTGCCAAAAGTTTTAAGTTTGGAATTAGTACGTGGTTGTTTAGACAATTAAACAGAAAGTTTTTTTCCGTCATAATCATATATTGGAAATGTTACATTAATATTAAAAAAGCGGAATTTTAAAAGTAGCTGTTTTGGCAAAAACCAGGCGTTCACCTTGACGTTATTATTATTATTATTATTATTATTATTATTATTATTATTATTATTATTATTATTATTATTATTATTATTATTATTATTATTAATAGCTGCTGTTGTTGTGGCTTTTAACGCTATTTTCAGCACACGATAGGCTATATATGGCGGCCAGTATTAATGGTGGAGGAAGAACGTAGGAAAATTCCGTAAAGAACAACCGACCCACGAGATGCTAGTAGCAAATTTTCTCACATACCCACATTGCAAGAATCAGAGGCTCGAACCTACGCAGAGGTGGGATGGCAGTGATCCGTAACGGAGAGCGCTTTAGACCACTGGGCCACTCGGGGCGCTATTATTATTATTATTATTATTATTATTATTATTATTATTATTATTATTAGTATTAGTATTTTTATTATCATTATTATTATTATTATTATTATTATTATTATTATTATTATTATTATTATTATTATTATTATTATTATTATTATTATTATTATTAGTATTATTATTATTAATGTAGTAATGGTGGTGCTTTTCATGATGTTCTTGTGGATAGTAGGTTAGTTAGTGCCGTGGAAATAGGGAGTAAGTGTTTTGCCCCAGAATTCACAGCTATTGTTGACCTGGACTGATCCAGTGGTAGGTTTTGAATACGCAGTCTTACGGTCATTGGTCTGGCACGTTAACCATAGAACCACTGTTTCTCCTTTAATGTTAGAATAAAACTTACTTGGCAACTTGTTTTATCCTGCTAAGAAGCTATTCAATATTGCTTATACTTGTGCTAATTAATGGCATTTAAGCTTCCCACATGCATATGGAATATGCACAATCAATAACAAGTGATTAATTAAGAAGTACCTTGTACCATCAAAATCCGTGACCATTTTGTTATGGTAACATATGAATTTTATAACTGGTTTCCAAAAAATACAATATTACGACGTTTATTTGAATTTGTTTGCTTCCAGTATACAGAAAACATGTACAAAATAAATTTTCAAAAACGTTAACTCATTGTATCTTGGATATGTGTTACGCTTTGGCACTTTTACAAGAGCTACCAGTTTTCAAAAGTAACAAAATTACACATCTATTGATATTTCTTAAAGAAGTCTAAATGTGAGCACTATGATAAGCATCAGTGTCACCTAGGTAACGTTTTCAGCTGAATACTAGTGGAACTATTACAGTTTGCTAATGTAAGAATTAAGAAGTTTCGTTGCACACAAATTATTAAAATTCGTGGAGTTAAAATAGAAATGTATTTATTTTGAGATACCTTCTGATAACGAAAGTGTAACTTTGCCGACGCTGATGTTTCTTTTCAAATGCAAGTCTATATTTCGTTCTGCAAAACCATTTTTTTATGGAGAAATTTAATTAGTGAAATTTAGGTATAGAATCAAGAACTCGACATCTACTAGTATTTTGATCATATTTTTTGAAGAACTTTTAAAATCTTTGTTTTCTTGAAATTTTACAAATATCACAAAAATTTTAGTAAACATAATTCACTAAAAATTTGCCTTCTAGAAATGGAAAACTTTAATGAGATTAAACAGGTTGTATAAGAAACATCCATCAAATGAACTTAATTCATCAAATACAAAGCGTTTTACAGCTATTTTACTTGTGTATATTGGAAACAGGAACACTTCAGGACATTTATTTTTATTTCTTTAATTTATATAATTAGGCTAGTAATGTGTTTTATTGGACATGCAGATTGTATGGATTCATTTGTAATTATTATCTATCCTTTCTTATAGCAGGAATTAGTGTTTATAACTCTTAAATGTCTGTAAATGTACTATTGTAGCAATTTTAAGTATGTTCTTGTCTTTCTTTTCATATTAAAAACCATAACAATATATGACTGAGTATATGAAATATTAACTCATTCCATTTGTCACTAGGTACATAACGATAATAGGACAACATTAAATTGGATCGATTTTTTTTCTTCCTTGTTTTGGACAAAATAAAAATATAAAAATCAAAATATAAAAATTTCTTTTCTTTCATTTTAGGCTGATCAACTTACAGAAGAGCAAATTGCAGGTATGTAATGGTGAATCAGTTTCTGCTGAAACATAGTCCCACAGCATACCCATTCTTTTCTTTTGTCTTGCCTGTTAACCACAGACAAGGCATATATATATATATATATATATATATATATATATATATATATATATATATATATATATATATATATTTCTCTGAGGACTTTTTGTTGTTGTTGTTATCATCGCCGTACATGTTAAGATATAAAACTATTCTAACGTTTCAGTTTGTTTTTTTTTACCATAGAAATTGTTCATATTTCAATAATTTTAAGTTTGGTCCGTACTAATTAGTTCAAAGTGCTATAATATTGGGGGTTACCGTAATTAGTTTTGTGTTTTGTTACTTCAGGCAACATTGTAATATGGCTTTCTCAATAAAATGTTACATTGGGTTAAACGGGACTATTGTCCTGGATGAGGAGATTTTAAAATTTTTAAAATTTTTTTGTTATATCCTGATTACTCAGAGACTTTGATGAGATATACTTTGAAGGTGAT